TGTGTGTGTACGTGTGTGTGTGTGTGTGTGTGTGTGTGAGATTTACTGTTGCAAATGGGGACGCTTCACTGACCCTGAAATATCCCGCATAATTCAAATTTCGATTCGTAGAAAAGTGAAATTGTAAGAAAGCGGACGAGATGAAGAAGCAGTCGGTTGCATTCTTAGCCGTCAAATTTTCTTTTCTTTTTTCTTCGTAAAACATTTATTACACCATTAACTTTATATGATAGAATGGTAATTGATATGTTTTGGAAATTGCTAAAAATTATTAACTTCTGAAAAGTCTTAATTTGAAAATAACCTTTCTAAAGTTTTAATGATGTCAAGTGCATTGATTTTTTTAAAAGCTTTTAAGAATAAGTAATTATATGGAGCGTCACATGATGAGATTGAAATTGGATAATTTTTATGTGAAAAATTGTCCTCCGCTCAAGCTGTATATGATATGTAATTATATGCATTTACAGAATGGAAGAGATCAGTTTCGAAGGTTTCATTTATGATTGTTCAGAGAACAGTATACGAATGATTTATTGTTCTGTGATTGGTGAAGTATGCATCGATGAAACAACAGAAGTAATTAGCAGAAGCAGGAAGCCAGCTGTTGGAATGTGGTGTACATTTAAAGCATCCTGTCAGGTTTGGAATGTTATTTTACGTTTTCATTTTTTTTCTTCCTTTTTTCTTCACATCTTTTTTTCATTGTACGTATTTTTTTTTTTCTCCCGATTAACTAATTGATTTAGAATACTGGTTAGATTCGGTTTGTACCAATATTGTCCTTCCAGTCTAAAATTAACAATGTTTGAACGATTTCATATTGACACTGATATGTTAATTTTTGATAGCTATTTTTGGAAATTGCCAAATATATTATATGTAATTCATAGATACCAAAAATATTTTCAAAGTAATGCGCCTGATCTGCTTCATAACGTGGTACGTGATGTATTTAGTCACCAGTCATTTTTAATGTACGTTTTGATAAAAAATGAATTCCCAATCTTTTCTTTAGGAAGATGGAAAATGGTTTACCCGAATGGTTGTATTAATGCCGTGTCCACGATTGAAATGCGTTATGAGAGAGAATGAATGTATTGTTAAAGGTGGGTGGGCATATGTAGTGATTATAGTGAAGTACTATAAGTAATATCTTGAAGATATCAAGCGAACAAATATTTTAATTTGTGCTTTTTACTTCGCCATTTTCCCTGCATCGAATTATTGAACACTTCCAGGAACAGCAATTGTGTGCAATATAAACGGTGATTCGGGTTATCTCTGGAATGACTACATCGGATTGATTGCTATTGAAGGACAAATGGTATATCAGCTGAAACCATTAATCTGTGTTCAATTTCAGGCAGTACCACTCAAGAAAAATGGTACACCAGCTTATTTTATGGTATGATTAAGCATATGTTTCAATTGCACAATTAATTTCGTTCATTTCAATGAATATTTGTCTTTTTTGATTGTAAAAATTTTAATTAGGGAAGGTTTTTATTTTTAAGAACACCTTCCAAATTTTTTTTTATAAGAAAAGTATTTTTCAATTAGAAATACATTCTCGTAGACAGAATGATCATAAAATATATACTTTTGCTATGTTTTAGATGTTTAAGTATAGTTCATCTTCGAGAATTGTAAATGTGTTATTATTAAAAACATACTCATTCTAGATATAGCAGACAACCTGCTACAAGTATAATAAATACACTTATTTCGACAATGTTATTCAATATGAAAATATTTTATAGGCTAAAGAAGTCAGTATTGAATTGGAAAGTATATTTCAATCTGAAATTCTGCTTTTCACACAGAAAGCTAAGATAAAAACAGATGGTCAAGCCTATGTATCGGGTAATTTTGAATTCCTCTACTCATTCTGTTAGGCATTGCACAGGCAAATAGGTTGTAACTCTATACAAACAAAACTCATACATTTTTACAATGAATATTATAGCAGTGCGATTCATGTAGTAATGACCCATATAATGGTTTTTTATAAGCAAAAGACTCTTTTATAATAATTATAATAGTATTCAAAGTAACGAATTATAATTATATAGTGGTATCCACATGATAATGAGAAATGTATGAAATTTCACTTCTAGACTGTATTATTACTTTATTGGACATAGCATATTCCGATCAACTCACTGCTCCTGCAACGATGTCAATCCTTTATTACAAAACGTACAGTGATAGTGCTTTTGGCGTTGGTATTTATGCAACTACCGACAGTAATATTGTTGCTGGAATTGTAAGTAGAACCTATATCCACTCAAGATAGTGATTATTACTTTTCTATTTAAGGTGGTAATTGTTGCTTTTGCTGTGATTTTTGACGCATATCACTTTTTGTTCAAAATATATACGAAGTAATGGATTTTTTTTTGTTTTTTGAATGGTAATCTAACAGATTTTTTGATAGAAAGATGGTTTTTTTACAACTAAACGATGTTTCGAAACATGTGCTGAACAAAGAGAAATTGAACTATTCGAGGACGCGCTTGAAAGTAAGTAAATACCGATGGAAAAATAAAAAATGTTTATTGCTCGTTTTGTATGGATGTATTAGATGACAATCATGGACCATAACATTTAGTATTTCTTTTTCTAACACCTATTTTTTTCAGATCTGACTGTGACATCGAACAAGTTGCCAGCTATCGTAAGTTAAAAAGATTTTTTTCCAAATTAAGCATCAAAGTAGTGCATTACTATTTGACAATAAATGATGCTATTTTAAAGTTAATGTTATACAATATCTTAGTACTGTTTATTGAATGCGCATAGAACACTAAAATTTTTCTTTTGCATTTTCAACGCTCCGAAGAATGTTGATATGCATATTTTGCTTGAAAACTGTACCTAGAGATATGTAAATTTTTGTATGGTTCAATGTTTATCGTCCGACTATTCGTAGACTTTTCTGAAGAAATTAGGACAGACACTGTAAGTTAGTCTATTTTAGTAAATTGCGTAATATTATCATTCGCTTTTTTAATGATGACTCTTCGACTGCTTGCTGATCAAATTTGATTGAAATCTTTAAATTATTTGAAATTCTGTAGGCTTTTACAACTCATATATTTTTTTTGACAGGATGATGAAATGCCGATTATAAAAATCGATATATCACCAACTGAGGACATGATCGAATTTGCGGAGGACAAGAAAAATGATGTTGGTTTCATTTTTATTAAGTAATTTTTCCTTCTTTTTTGTCCAGGTCGTTCGTGACCAATTATTTCCAGGTCGTTCATGACCAATTATTTTATATTACTTTTAACTTTTTTGCATATCAGATTCTGTCGCTTTAATGGATTCTAATTGTTTGTGTTAAATTATGCTTATCTTCTGTTCTTAATTTAGCATTCTTCAAAAGTGGTTAATCCGTTAGCTGATGATTGCAACTCTTTGACGAATCAAAGTTCCGAGTCATGTTTAGTTAATTTTTGTATTTCGGACTCTGATGATAAGCTTTCCTCCAGTGCATTTGCTCAAGAGGTTCATTTTCAAACAGTAATATAATTATCACTTCTGACTGACCTCGATTCTTTATTTTTGATTTAATTAGATGCTTGCATATCTTTTTCATTCACTTAGCGTCTTTTTTTTCATTAGATTTCTTTTATTTATTTCAGACACTTAAAAAAGCAAAAAAGAGAGCTAAAGTTTACTTGGAACGTGGCGGATGTTAAAGAAATACTTGTGTTTGAGATTAGCATTTAACGAATCCGTAATTTTTTGGAATTCTAACAGCTGACATATACGATATAAATTTTATTCGATAGTTGTATTACAGGAAATGGTTGATAAAACGAGCTCGTCGGAAGACAGTATTCCAGCTGAGCTAAAAAAGGAATTCATGAAGTTAAACGAGGTGAGACAAATTAGAATCAATCTGAGTTTAATAAATTATTTATTTCTGATTGAAATAATTCAACATTCCATGTCAATTATAAAGAGACAAATGTTGCGTAATTTAAACGCAGACCTCAGGGTTTTGATTTGTTGTTTCATTGTAATAGATATTTCCATTCACCTCAGTATGGAAAATGTATCCATTGATAATCCTGTAAAATAAATTTTTGCAAAATGCAGAAAATAATAATTTCCAGAAAGATTTTATTAGTTCATTTCAGGAAGATATATGGGATAATGAATTCATTGAGCATTTACAACATAAGATAAAGGAGGTGAAACATACTCAGGTATTTCATATTTTTCCAAAGGTTGTTCATGTTCACAGCTTAGAATCCATAATCTATAACATTTGTAATGGATGTTTTAACTTTGCAAGTGAACCGCATGAAACGAGTAGGTCTTATTTAATTGTATTTCTAGATTTGTTCTTCTGCTTATAATCTATTGTAACTATCAGGACTAAGATTCTGTTGGATTTTAGTTTTGTCATTGAAATAAATAAAGTGACTGTTAAAAGGTGGAAGTAACGGAAAATGTAACGAAATAAAATATATTAGCCTGTCAATTTCAGAATAGTACTGAAAACAATAAGGAAGAATACGATGAGTTGAAGTAAGTGAAAATGTTTCTGTTTTTCTAATTCCATGCTTCAAGTAGTTAAACAAGAAAGTTAGATACATCATATAAAAATTTTCTCATAGTTTTTGGTATCATTCGTCCTGTTACAAGAATTCAGTACCTGATATATAATTCCAGAATTCAGTTCGAGTGTTTGGTGTTTTTAGATCTATATCGTGCCTGATTCTGTGTATGAGTGTGGGAACATAATGTCAAAGCAAATAATTACACCAATTTCTTTTTTACTTTGTTTAGAGATTATGCAGAACAGAGACCTACATCAGTGCGACGACATGCACAAAACATCGAGGCTACAAAGGTCGTTTTTATGCCTAATTTTTGCGAATTCAGAAGATGATAGGATTATAAAACATTTCACAGATCATTAATATATAGGGAATATGGCTCAGTTGTACTTCAGAAATCTTTCAGATTTTTGATTTAAATTTTCATTTTTTATTTTTTATTGTCTGGTCATATTGAAATTATGAAACAGAATTATGAAGGACACAAAAAATGATTTGCAGATGATAAATGATGTTGGCTCCAATTCGAGACTCTCTGTCATCAACGGGTTAATATACATAAGCCTTTTAAAATCTTTCTTAAATCTTTCTTCATTTCTTTACAGGCAATTATAACGCTACATCTTATTTCACAAGCATAATTTTTGAATATCTTTTCGCAAAAATCTTTTTTGCTTCAGGACTACAAGCGGGATGTTGTTAGCAAGTTCAGAAGAAGACATTTCTGTCAGGGAGGTATCAGTTTTGTTGATACTTGTATTTTTTTTTAGTTCAAATGTCTGCCAATAACACATTTGTAATTCATATAAATATACTGTTGGCAGATATTTGAGGAAGCAAAATTACTAAAATATGAAAAATTGCAGTGTAGTCAAATTATTGTTCTATGAAACTCTCTGCTTTACTAGCATGACTAGCTTGAAAACTCAAAAATTTCATCCTACAAGATATGAAGAAGTTTGGAGATAATAAAAGGTGATTCAACAAGTTTATAGAAAATTAATACGCTTGAAACTGCATAGGAAAAAAATTTCCATGCAGTTTCAACTATACCATTTTTAACTTCAGAACATTGCTCCGAAAATTTTTATGATTTTCCAAGCGTTTTTCGTATCAGGTATATCTGCGGCTTATCATAGTTGTATTTGTTATGTATTATTACTTTATCATAAGAACAGGTGTCTTTTATCCTACAAATTATTTCTGATCAAGTCCAGTCTCTAATACTCATAGTCTGCATACGAGCCGTCATTAGCAATCAAATTATTTCTTCATAGTTCATGCTTGAAATACTGCTGGTGTTATCGGTGGTTTGTTTCTTTTAAATTTATATCAATAAATATATCAATAAGTTAGTTACTGTTTTTTATCAATAAATATATCAATAAGTTAGTTACTGTTAATGTTCTAGACTACAGCTAAGTGGGTAGATGAAATGGATAAACTCTGCATTAAAGTGCTTTCAAATGCTCGCCTTCGTAATTTTGTAAGCGTGAATAAAAATGGTTTGTAATTTTGAAATGAAAATGGTTTTTAATTTATTTAAAGCGTTTTAATTAAAGGAGAATTGCAATTCGGTGCCACAGTTTGGTCCACTTTAGCTTCTCTTAAAAATTTGCACTCCTGGGAGATTGAATGTTCTCACCAAAAAGTGGTATTTTGGCAAAATTGATACTAAATTTGTAATACTGATTTAGTCGGTTTAAGGATTTGTGAAAAATTTCCGCATTTAATATTTTCATTGTTATAGTTTTTTGAAGATTCCTTTTGGTTGTTGGATTTAATTTTAATGAGTGAAAGAATTTTTGTTCATTTAAATTACACATTTAAGTCACCCATTTAATTCTTTTCAGGAAATGCTCTTCTTCGTGATATAATGCATTATTTAGAATATCAAATGACAATGGAGGATGTGAATGAAAAACTTGGAATTCCACTTTCTGAAGTAACGGTATGCTTTTGCTGATTTAACTGAATGATATTTGACATATACTCGGTAATTCAAGACTTAACCTCTTCATTCCAAGCATAACATGATTGCAAAGTAATCTTATCGGCCTGATTCTGTTTTATTATTTTTCTTTGTTTTGGAGATCAACACAGTTCTTTATTGCAAATTGACTTGGAAGAGAATAGAAAAAGATGTAGATGAAGTGTTATTATAATACATTTAATGACGACTATACAATTAGATTACCTTATTGGAATTACATTATCCTAAAATAAGAAAGAAGTTTTATCCAGCGATCATTTTCATTTTCTTACTGTAATAGTCTTTTATTGGATTTTCAACTATTGAAAAAAGTAATGCTTTACAGGTTTCAGAAATGAGAGACCTTTTATTTTTAGTATTTCCGCTAATTTTTTTTGCATACTTCTGGCTAAACCATTTAAATTTTAGTTTATTAGAAGTTTCTCTTTCCTTATTGTGAACGGTGCTGTGATAATCATCTCTTTCTAATACTTATTCATATTAGTAAATTTTTATTACTGCGTATACCGTTTTGTGCGAGATGGATTAAAGTAACCATTTCACTTGAGATCGCTTAATAGACATTTCCGCTTAAATTGGCAAAATGTTAGAACTGTTTCGTTTAGGTTATTCATTCATCTTTATCTTTGCTATTCTATTCCTTAACAAAAAAATCAAACTAATTTGGCGCTTTTCTTTTTAGTCTGAATGTTTCAATATTGTGCACGAGGAACGAGCGCTCGAAATATGTCGAAAACTTATGAAAATGAACGGTTTCGAACGAGTTGCTAATAGCAAAATTCCAAAAATACCAAAAGAAATCGGATAATTCTCATGAATGAAATTGGCGCAGATATCATTCTCCGTTTCTTTCATGAACATATCAGTAATGATCTTATGGTATTATAATTTCGATTGAATTTTCTCAATTATTTTTGTAAATATATGTGTAATAATTGTTTCTAGCATCTCCATTTCTATGAAGCAGGGTTTTTTTAATGATTTTTAAAAAATCGTAAAAGATCTTATCAATTTTTTATGATTTGTTTAAAATTGTTTTTTGTCCATTCTTTTTTATTCATCAAATATTTTGTTCGTTTTTGTTTATTTGTGACACTTTTTCTTGGGAAGAATATGTGCTATTCAAACATTGTATTTTTTTCCATATATTTGGCATGAATTTGTAACTGTTTCCTTGTTAAAAATTAACCAACATTATCACTTGTTGTATGTTAATGTTCGTAATATATTTTCTGGAGGACATTAAATTTTTGGAGTTTTTTTTTTTTTTTGCTTCTACGTGTCATAAATATAAAAAGTTGGATCTTTGTTACACTTTAAAAAAGTTAGATTTTTTTTTGTTATTCTCGAACATATTTTTAAATAAATATTATATCATATATATTTTATTACGCATCATTTTGTTTTTTGCGAATAACTTATTGTTTAATGTTTGTTTCATATTGTGAATAAGGAAATGGTTTTACGAGAACCAAAATGCGGTAATTTTCTCATTTAAACTCGAAAACAGTTTTAAATAACGGAGACAACTCAAAGCATCAACAAGTCTTTGATCGATGTTTTAGCTTGCACAGATTACATGATGGTTCAAAGTTCAAAAGGCTGTCGCAGATGATCATTTTACAACTGCAGGAAGGAATGAGAAGTAGCCAACAGTATTCATTGTATTATTGTTTAGCATTTTGAGCAAATTTAAAAGGTGAGCAGGTTGAATGTATGGATGTATTACAAGGCGATTGATAATCAAAAAGATGGCATTTTCATCTTCTTTTGATTGTGGAACTTTAACAAATTTTTTTTTTTCCAATCAAATGAAAATTAACAAATACATGTGCCATTCAGTGATAATAAACAGCAACAGCAATGTTCAAATCAATCTCTAAAGTTTTCAAAGGAAAACGAATCCAAAGTTAAACTTGTGCGCTAATATTTTTTTATGTGGTAATACTTGTATTAACGTAATTTGTTCATTCTAGGCTTTATCTATTGGATTCATCGAATAAAAATGATCAATTATAGCCTGAGATCGTTGAGATGATAGAGAATTACATATAAACGTAAATCGTAAACCAGTTAAGTATAGATTTTTTCATCATTAATCGGATCTGTTTTACAGTCGTCTTTTTTTTTTTTGACGTCAGCTACTTTTTTTTTTTACTCGATTAAAAATAGGTTTGCTTTATATTTTCTATCCTCATTACCAAAGATGCATTACTATACATTCCATATTACAGAATGAATTAAACAGTAGCCGACATTCAACATAAATTGCATTATCTGGAATTTGTTTGACTATTTTTATTGTTGATGGAAACCATGAGCAGTTTATCTAGCAGTAACTATAGTTTAAGACTGTCTGTGAAAAAAGTTTAACTCTCATAAAGAAGATGTATTTTTGTTTTATGGTGAGCTAAAACTGTTTCAAAATTTCAGTGGGTTATAACTAAGATTTTTATCAACGATAATCTACTTTACTCGATCTGTTATAGCAAGATATATTCCTTAATTTTTAATAGGCAAAAAATTGCTTCTAATTTATTCCGTTGCATAGAATTTCGTATGCTTTGACTCTTTACTTATTCCTATATGTGTAAAGTTGGCAATTTTCAAACAGCAGCGCTTAAAAGAGGGGGAAATCGATATAATCTTATCAAATTTATGTTTGAACAGCTGGCAATTTCATTAATATATATATATATATATAAGTGATAAATGATTTTATTATGATATTATCTTGTTAATCGGCCAATAATATCTCAACTTATCTCTATTGTTCCATCAAAAACAAAATCTCTTATCAGTTTCAACTTAATCAGCTTAATTAATTTTACGTTTATTTGCACCTGAGTACACGTTTGATTGCGTTAATTTACACTTCACTTTTTGTTGACTTCATTTTCTTTCTCACATATTATATAATAGAAATTATAGTTGCAGCGATGTTAACGGTTATTTTTGGTGATGAATTAGATTGGCGATTTGCTATACTGATTAAAACAATGATAATATTCAATGCTATTCCGGTTATATTGCTATTATTATGTTTTATCATATCGAGCATTGCTATTTATTCCTCAGCTCTTCTTATACAACGTAATTTTTTTTTTTTGCAATCGTACCAAAATATCTGCCCTAATTTTTCAATCTATAATTAAGCAATACATTTTGCACTATTGTCAATGACGAAGCTTTAATTGTAATTTTAGATGAAATTGGCTTCAGAAAAAAAAAATGACTTACAATATCTGATCATTAAATACTTTAATTATTAGGAGTAAATGATATAATTACTTGAAATTTGCTACCGTATCTAGATCATCGTTTAACTGTTTTTTTTTTTACTATGAGTACTTTAATTAATTTTAAATAACAAATCAATTTTATCTAATTTAAATTTCCCCAAACTTTCTTTTTTTTTTTTGTTTCAGTTATCTCATTTCTTTTTGGACTAGCAATATTTGCGCCAATTATGTTATTTTCTTCACTGATTGCACTTATCATTAGCTTTATTATCATTACATCACGACAGTTTTTTGTGAAGCAAAATGTGCAATCATTTCCAACTTTTGTAAGCTATCAAAGACGATTGAAAATGGAATAAAAATTTTTTTTTTTTCCTCGATAATATTCTATTTCACTACCAAGAATTCTTTTCTGCAAGCAATTTTGAGGCAATTATTTTATTTTTTTTTTTTTTGAAACTTCATGTCATTATCATTGATAACAAATCTATCAATGTTATTTAGTATTATTTGATGAAAAGGTGTATTGTTGTCGAATTTCATCATGCATAAAATATACGAATTAGTGTGAAGTGTTAACGTTTAAAAAGAGCGGAACTGCTAATATCTCAAATGAACTTTTAACAAATTAATTTTTCGACATACTTGTTTCGATCAATAGCAAACTTTGAAAAAAACTTACCTTGATGAAAACTAAATGAAAAACTTATTAAATAATAATCACGAATGCAATATCCTTTACACTCTAAAAATTATCGAAGTTTGCTACGTTTTTTTTATGTTTTTAAATAACATCTAATCGTAAAGAAGAGTAACACGTATAATGCCTTTATGCACGGCATTACATACGCTTCTTTTATGTGCTATACGTACATTGCATTATACGTCTCATATGCTCAAATATATTAAACTTTACATTATGCCTATTTCACTTTTCTGTGACATCATCTTTTTTTTTGTTCCTTCACCTGAATTTCGTTTTTTTTTTTAAATATTTATCATATCAATTCTTGCATTTCTTGCTACATACAAAAAATGAAAAATAATCAGTTATAATATTTTTTTTTCCTTAAATTGTCTTTATCATCAATTAGATAATGTAATTTTTTTTGGTGCAACAAACATACAACACTAAACAACCGATAGATTA